TTGTGACCTTTAGGTACATCGGTAATCCAAAAAGTTTCGGCAACATAACCGAAGCTAGAGGTGAAGGCGAATGTCAAGGACATACATGATGTCTGCTTTGTTGGCAATAGCAAATCGGTATGCAGACTTGACCGAAAATAACCCATGAGAATCGAAATGCCAAAGAAGATGATCATCATGTGGGGTTTGAGGGAGCAAGATTGCTAAAATGGCCATGATAGCGCTCTTTGAGTACTCTTACCACTTGGTTCTTGTAGAATGGCCCAACATGCTTCACTAGCAAGGTCCAATTAATAGATGCAAAATACCGAAAGGCAAGCCCTCCATCAGCCTTTGATTTACAATGATCACGCCACAACAACCATTGAATTCAAAGCTCCATGCCTTGTTGTTCCCACCAGAAATGAGCAATCATACGATTTAAATTACGAAAATGTTTCTTTGGGAGGTAGAAGCAAGACATAGCGTAAATAGAGAGGGCTATGATAGAACCCGGGAAACCGAGCTCTACCTAGGGATTGGAAAATAGGGATCAATGAGGGATTGACCCTTTGAACGAGAATTGCAGAAGTGGAGAGAAGGAATGCAATTTGAGAATTTGGGAAGATGGGAGAAGAGGCTGCTCGGCAGCCTAGGGAAAGAGAGAGGGAGGAGGGTCGGCCGAGAGTGAGGGAAGGGAGAGAGAGTAGGGTTTCTTTAGGTTTAATCTTGCTTACCCATTTCTACGTAACACAATAGTTTAAATACTAAAGCACAATTGCCTATAACTACCCCAACTTATTAATCCCCAAATTATCCCAAAGTAACCAATCAAGCCCACACAAATAATTCTAACAATTCAATATGAACACAAAACCAAATAACTAGTGTCTATCATTCCCATTCCCTTCAAAACAACCTTTTCCCCAAGGTTGTCATCTTCCACCTTGTCATCCCTCCCACTCGCCCCATCCCCGGCCTCGTCCGCCCACCTTCCGACCAGCATCATCAAGTCCGGGCGTGCGCACTTGTGGCCCATCGTGAATTGCTCATCACAGTTAAAACACTTTCCCTCATGCCGCTTTTGCTTGATTTCTGCAGGAGATAGCCGCACAAAGCCCTTGGGCGGTGGCCTTATCCCGGCTCTGCCTACCTATCTCGGCGCTTAACCAACCGCGGTAACCCCAGCACACGTGCTCGCCCTGGTCGCAGTTCCTCCTCTGCCGCCAGTACCACTGCTGCTTCCCACCCCGCTCGGTCGCTGATAGCGGCCTATGGTGCTCCTCCAGAGCTCCTCCTCCTATTACCCTGCAAGACGAAAGGCAGACTTTAAGGAGTCGGGTTCGAAGACCCGGACTGCAGCAGCGATCTCGGGTTTCAATCCCGCCATGCACAATCCCACCAGTGTGTCCTCGGACACCCCCCTGCATTGGTTGCCCAGCTTGAAGAACTCTGCACGATAATCCGTGACAGACCCCGTCTACTTCAGCTTGGCCAACTGCTTTGGAGCCCAGCCCTCTGACTTACCAAACTGGTAACGGAGCTCTTCCTGGAACATCGGCCACGTGATCAAGGTTTTCGCTACCTCGTAAGACCTCTCCATCCATTTCCACCACTGCAAAGCTTCACCTTCTAAGTAGAAGGACGCCAGATGCTCCTCTATTCTTCCGGTATTGGGTGGTTTTTGAACCATTGGTCAGTTGCATACAACCAGAGCCCTGCATCCTCCTGACCGATGAATTTTGGAAATTCAATTGTTGGGGGTTTTGCCCGAAAGACTAACTCGTCAGTCCCATCATAAGAATGGTGATATGATCCATACCTGTCAAAACCCGGTTCGCCTCCCTAATTGCCCCGCGGAAACCGTGGCTCCCACTCCAAATGCCTTGGCCCATACCCGCTCGAGACGCCTCGTATGGGCTGACCGGTTGCACTAGTAGCGCTATATTGTCCCCTCCACCCGGGCGGACCCATACTGCCCGCCCCCACCTTGAGCTGTTCAAACAGGTTTGGTCCACTTCAGGTCCGACCAACATCGACCCGACCCGAACCGGTCCGCCCAGCATCAACCCATCCCGGTCCGGTCCGCCCAGCATCGGTAAGCCGCGCTTCGACCCGGCCTGGTCTGCTCCAACCCGCATCAGCCCGGTCCACCCAGTTCGGTCTTCCCCTCTTGGCCCATGCCCCGACCCAGTCCACCCTGGCCCGACCCGATCCTCCTGGCTTGGCCCAAAACGTGCGGCCCGGTCGAGGCCTTGATTCGAGTCCTATCAGATGCGCTCGAGGCCTGGCTGGGCCCACGGCACCTGTTGGCCCGCCAAACAAAGCTCCTCTTCGGCCTGATCTTGGTCCATGCTCAGCCAACCTAGCCTGGTGGGCTCCCAAGGCTGACCCGCCGGATCACAACGCCCCGCCAGGTTCGCTGGCCAATACCTAGTCTGATGGGGCCCGATGTCGTAGCCGGGCAGCTTAGCCTTGCCCTTGCGGGGTGCCAATTCTTGGGTCGTAGGCATAGGAAAAATCCTAGACCCGCCGCCCTACCCCAACGTGATGTGACCCGCACGACCCAGCTCGACCGTCTCGCCACCATCCCCTGGGCCTGCGGCGCCGTTTCCGCCACCACCTCGACCGGCGTCACTATCATCGCAGCCCTCGCCCTCAGTCGGCGGTTTCCGCCGTTCGCCCTGCAAAGACACCAAAACCTCCTATCCTGTCAAACCAACGCCATACCCTCCGGGAATCCTCTAGCCGCTCATGGCGCTCCTCCAGCCGTTCCTGGCTCTCATCCGCGAGCGAGGCCACGAGTTGGTGCAGGGTAGACTAGACCTCCTCGTCCTCCATCGCGCCATCCACATGCGAGCTAGTCGGCGCGGGGGGGGGGGGGGGGGGGGGGAGGTGGAAGTAAGGGTCGACATGGCCTTGGGAGGCTGGTTGGCATCAGGGGTTGACTCCTTGCCGCCGCCAGTCTGCACCACGGCCGCTTATGCGGCTTGTTTGGCCAAGGTAGTCTTCTCAGCAGCGGACATGAACTTGGTGAGCACCATGTTCTTGTTTCAAGGTATGCAGAATCGTGAAGGCTCTGATACCAAATGATAGAACCCGGGAAACCGAGCTCTACCTAGGGATTGGAAAATAGGGATCAATGAGGGATTGACCCTTAGAACGGGAACTGCAGAAGTGGAGAGAAGGAATGGAATTTGAGAATTTAGGAAGAAGGGAGAATAGGCTGCTCGACGACCTAGGGAAAGAGAGAGGGAAGAGGGTCGGCCGAGAGAGAGGGAAGGGAGAGAGAGTAGGGTTTCTTTAGGTTTAATCTTGCTTACCCATTTCTACGTGAAACAATAGTTTAAACACTAAAGCACAATTGCCTATAACTACCTCAACTTATTAATCCCCAAATTATCCCAAAGTAACCAATCAAGCCCACACAAATAATTCTAACAATTCAATCCGAACATAAAACCAAATAACTAGTGTCCATCAGGCTAACACAACCGATTTTATTAAAGTTTCGTGGCTAGTAGGAGAAAGATAATGTTGCTTCCACCCTTGCAAACGTTTTGCCACCTCGTCCTCAATAAAATGAAAGTTACGTGTTTGGATCAATTAATGAGCGAGGGAAGCCCCAAATACTTATCACATGTCCCAATTGTGCCGACTTGCAAAAGGGAGCCAAACTGATGCGCTTTGTCAGGGGGCGTATATTTGGAAAAAACCTCCGCCGGTTTGGTTAAGTTCACACGTTGATCACTCATAGATTCATAGCGTGAGAGCAAATTCATAAGCGTCTGGAAATCACGTGAAGAAACTTGAAGGTAAAGTAAAGCATCATCAACATAAAAGAGATGAGAAAGAACAAGGCAATGACTGTTAAAACTTAAAATAAACACTCTAGAACTCGTTCTGAGAAAGGGCTTGAGATAATAAAGCGGAAAACTCTTTCGTACAGATGGCGAACAAGAGCGGTGATAAATGGTCACCTTGATGAAGACCACGGGATGGTTGAAAGTACCCATAGGAACTCCCATGAAGCATGACTGAAATCGAAGTGGACGAAAGACAGTTAGAAAAGTTATTAACAAAATCATATTATTTTGCTCATTAACCGAAATAATATGGTCATTCTATTCGATCGTAAGCTTTCTCCATATCAAGCTTGAGCACCATATAACGTTCCTGGCCACCACGCTTGTTACAGAGATGACTGAGAATCACATTTTCCACCATTGATCTATCCTTGACAAAACCATTTTGCGAGCCGCTGGGAGTTTAGATATAATTTTGTTAATAACTTGGCACAAACCGATCGGAAATAACTCGACGCATGTGTCCACATTACTTACCTTTGGGATAGGCGTCAATCAATGATTTACATATCTTTTTTGATAATTTTCCAACGGTTAAGAGGAAACCCCAACTCCCCAAGTACTTAACCGGAAGGATCCCAACTTGTAGTCTAGCCTCTCTGCCATATTTTTTCCCGCCTAGAGGAAGTCATCGACAAAAAATCTCACGTTTATTGGGGTTTGACTTTAGTCTTGACAAAGTTCAAGAATGATCTACGACAAGTTTACACATATTTAACTTCAAAGTTCAACCCATAAACGAATATAAGTAGGTCATCAGCGAAGCATAGATGAGTAAATTGAACTCTTTTAAACATAGGAAGATAAAAATCCATTTACCGAGTAGACTCGGGATAAATAGGGTGATAATAACCCTTTCTTTGAGGGATAGTATCCAACTAATTCCCTATTGAATCAAGTCTCTTGTCACGTTAGGTGACAGAAACACCTAATTCATGCATTTTTTTTCATTTATTCACGCCATATTTGCGTTACTCACGCCATAGTGGTGTTATTCACGTAAGAGTGTTGCTTATTCACCCAACCAATATTGTTTATTCACGCATATTGTTATTTATTCACGCCATTGTAAAATTATATTTTAAACTTTGAAATATATCAAAATGGATGTTATTGTGTAGATTATGATCAATACAACACAATTTTACTGATTAATTGAGAATTCAAATTTAATTCCATAAAATATAGACAATACAGATTCCATAAAATATAGACAATACAGATTATTAGGGGGGAAGTTTGAATTTTCATTTACGTGAATAACTCAGATTCTTACGTGAATAAACATAATATTAAGTGAATACGCACAAAATGGCGTGAATGAACACAAAAAAAAAAAAAAAATTGTGAATAAAGTGATATTGATAAAACACACATAATCTACTGATTGCAGACCCACATAAGAACTACAACATCATATCGTAACATGCTAACCCTTAATCTACTGATTGCAGACACACACAAGAACTACAACATCATATATTCATATGCAATTTTGCATTTGCCATGGGCATTGACAGACGTAGGCAGCGACCGTCTACCTGAAGAATGCCTAGGATGAACATTGTTAAAACACATTGATGGTGTTTATATGATACAAAAATCGCTGACAACTACAGTTGAGAGACACCAGAGAGAGTGATTGTTGGTTAGTTCTTGGGTATGTTCTTCCCAACTATCTTAGCAGGAGCGAAGCGCAGAAGATTGCCAGGCTTACCCGGGAGAGCACCTTTGATCATCACTACCCCGAGATCGTTGTCAACTTTAACCACCTTGAGCTTTCTGATCTTGGTCTTGGTTCCACCCATCCTTCCAGGCATCTTCTTGCCTTTGTACACTCGACCTGGTGTAGTTCCGGCACCAATGGATCCCAGAGCTCTATGACTCTTGGAACCATGAGTCATCAGTCCTCTCTTGAAGTTGTGCCTCTTAATACCACCTGGTTAGCAAACAAGGATTCAAATATTATATGGAATGAATTACTATGGAAGAAATGTATAGCAGCACATTCTAACAACCAAGACAATAGTTCACGACAGAACAAGGCAAGGCTGGCAGAACACCAAAATGGATGTAGACATTGCTTTGAGTTTCCGTTTTCTAATCTATTCTGGAATAGGTGATCTTATTTTTACCAATCGACTGGTCTAGGGAAACCCTATGCAGTAGATTACGTTTCCTTTTTCTTCAACTACATAGAGATGTTTCCCTTGCAACCTACTAATGGCTTTGCAGACTGCAGTTGTTAAAGAACCACGCCCGGAGGAAGAAATTAACTTTCAAGGGCAAACTAAGGTTTAGGGTTATAAGTTACAGAATCTCTACAAGATGTAGCGGTTGGTGTGTAGAATTTACTGCCAATTCAATTTAAGCATGAACCAAACCGAATCTGAAATTCGTCTGAAATTCATGGCTCCATAAGCAAATGTGATGGCAGTGGTTCTTTAACAAGATAGGAACTGAACTATCTTCTACGCAATACTCATAACTCTGATCAACAAGCATGACACTATCACTCACTAAGAATCCAAATACTTGCTAACTACTAAGTCCACTGGAAAACTATCACTCACTAGACTAGGCTACTAGAACACTTCAACCAGGGCAACAAGCAATTGAAACACATAACCAAAATGGGACTTGCAGGCAGCAAAAAGATAGGAGAGGAAAGAAACCTTGAAACCCTTTGCCAATGGTGATTCCAGAGACATCAACGAAATCCCCTTCCTTAAAAAGCTCCTCGAAAGCCAACTTCTGCCCAACTTCAAACCCATCAATACTCTGCAGCCTAAACTCCTGCAAGTGCCTCATGGGTATAACCCCTGCCTTCTCCAAATGACCCATCTCAGGTTTGGTTAGTTTCCTATCCCTAACCCTGCGATAACCCACCTGAACCGCATCATACCCGTCGGTCGAATCAGTCTTAATCTGGGTCACAATGTTGCCTTCCCGGAACCCGACCACCGTGACCGGCACCACCACGCCGTCGGGCTCGAAGAAACTCATCATACCGAGCTTGGTCCCCATCACGCCCACGCCGGCGTCGAAGCTCATAGCGACGACTGAGAGACCCAATCTCTTGTTTCCCGGGGAGATGGTGGGGAGACGGAATTGGGTCGCCGCTGGATGGGAAATAAGCGGGGTTTTGGAGAGGAAATTGCACCTCAAGGTGAGGGAAGAGAATTTAGAAAGGGGAAGAGACGGCGTGGTAGTGGACGGGCTGCGGTGGTGGTAGTAGCGGCAGCCTCCATGGGTGAGAGATGTTAGAGCTGAGATTGGCATCTCTGGTACTTATGTTTCATTCAGATGGACGGGAAGGGACTCTGGAGCGCAAGAAGAGTTGGGGTGACGAAAGAGGGAGGGAAAATGGATAGAAGTCGCACGCAGACGCAGTACTGTTGTTCTAAGATATGACCTTATCGGCTTATCCCAACTCCCATAGACTAGTCCTTCTGCACTGGGTTCCCGCATGATACGATGTCGGTCTGAAACTCTCATATACACAACAGACAACTACGTTCATTTGGAACGAATTTCCTCAACTTGCTATCACCGTAACAATAAAAGAAATCAATATTTATTATGATCAATAATTTCAACTTAGAAATTCGACTAAAGAAGACATATCTATCGACTAAAATGAGGTGGGTTTGAGGAGGATTTCCCTAAATCAACCTCCATCCTCATTCTGAATATGCAAATCCATATCCTCCCGTATAGGTGGAAGTTTCTTATATATCTCCATTCCCACGAATACCCAAAATAATACCCTCTTTGCAAATCCAAACCACATTCAACTTAAAATGAATATGGTTAAGTGAAAGTCATAAAATTTAGAGCTAGAACATTTAACATGATTATGTATAAGATAAATGAACTACAGATGTATGAGAAAAATAAAAAAAAATTCAAAACTTTAGGAAAACTTGGGGAAAAAGTACATGTATTGATGGAATTGAAAGGTGAAGTGAAGGTTTTTATATTGTGTTAGTTTAATATTGGTTAAATGGCAAAGTTGATCACTGGAAAAAAAAAATTGGTCACTAAAATATTTAATTTCATTCGTGGTCACTAAGATTAGTTAAATATGTCAAGTTTGGTCACTTTATGTTAACTTACGTTAGTCTGTGTTACATAGTCAGTTTTTTGCTGATCTGGCTAACAAAAGTGCATAATCAGCCAGATTTAACCCAAAATAAAATAAATGTGACCCGCCACATCATTTAAGCCCGCCACATCAGTTTCCCCAACCCGTAACCCAACCCTTTCCAACCCATAACCAGCTATCGACCAATTCCACCACCCGTCGACAGCCACTCCCCACTCCGATAGCCTTTGGCTCTGAGCTCTCCAATGCCTCCGCCAATTCTCCAAAATCCTCTGCGCCCACGAGATCCACCTCGCCGAACTTGATGAATTGCCACTTTCGCCATCCGGGAGGCTGCCAATGGAACCCTTAAAACCCCTAAACCAACCATCAAACCTAGAAACAAAAATCCCCAAATCCTTCCATCACCGCCAGATCTATAGGAGATCAAATCTGAAAATTGTTCCCCAAATCCACAAAACCCCTATTTTACCTTCTGTCTCTGTCCTAGGGGTGGGCATTCGGTTGGTTCGGTTTCGACCGAACCAAAATTATGAATACCGGGTCCCCGAATTATCCCAAACCTCAAACCAAATTATAATTCGGTTCCGTTCGATTTTGCACACAAAACCGAATTTGAGAGGCTACTTGTATCTTCTCACTTTTAAATTATTTTTCACGAGGATCTATCTTTTACAGGATCACAGAAGTATTAAATTGAACAATATTCTATATCTCCTTCTTTCTGTCTTATTCCGGCTAATATTGTCTCCTTCTTATTATGAATTCACGAATTTCGTATAGAGGTTCACATCGTGTCACCTTGATGTGAAAAGAGACCTACCAAGATTTTGCCTTAGGGCTCTTAGTACGCTAACGCGACGACTTGCCCAGTAAGAGGATGTTTTTTAGTCTTTTTAGGCGAAATCTAAAAGCATGCGAAGGTGGAAGTGAGACGAGCAAGTACGTTCTGTCAGAATGCTAATTATAAGTCCATATACTATGCTTTGGAATCTCTTGTAGTTACAAGCTCTAGAGCGATGAAGCATTCTCCACCAAAATACTAGAAATATGATTAGCAATTGCTTTCGCGTATTTATTTAGGGCCTTCTAATTTGGTAATGAGTTTTTAGTCATATAATTCTTATTTCCTGTCCCCCCACCTTTTTGGTACCAAAAGAAAACAGCTAAAACATCCCTTTCTACAGCTCCTGGAACACCCGAATAATCTGGAGTTACTCTTTCTCTTTGAAGTATTTAATTTCTGTGTAAGAGCCCAAAAGGGAATCAATCGTTAGCATTCCAATCCGTAAAGAATCTCTTTGTCTTATATTCTCTTTCTCGTATTCGAAGTAGTAGAGCGAGCTTATGTGCTTGAAGGGAATGGTCTTTCGCAAAAGAAGTGAGAATCTCCTTCCACCTTTGATTTGATGATAATCGTATCATTAATCCGTTTAGCACGTAATCAGTAGTCCGATCGTCTTACATATATATGCAGTACAGCTCCCTAATAGAATGAAGGGCAGTTGGTAAGTAGAGCGTTGGCTAGGCGATTCCTTATATACGATAGCATCACGCCTTTCACCAAGCCGACCCTTAATGTGGATGAAGCCGCTTATTTTGCATTGACTTCCGTCCGTAGAAAATATTGAGTGAAAATGAGATATACCCTTTTCTTATATATGCAACCACCGGTGCCAGTTTGAGGGCTCAATCAAGGAAGGCAGACCTCGGAAGCAATACAAGATAAGGTTCGTCAGACTTTATCATTCCTCTGACCGAGGGAGTGGACTCCTGGAGCGAACTACTCATTGTTGTCTTGCCCCAACTCCAGGAAGGGGATTTGGTGAGGAGCATTATTTTGAGGGAGCGAAAGTGTGGTTGACAAGCCACTTCGAGGAGGCGACTGGACTGGAGTGCTTTCATCAAATGAGGCATGTGGGCTGAGCCATTCCCATCCCAAGTATCTTATGTGTTTTTAAATTAAAGAATTTATGTCAGTCTTTAATCTAAGCCATGGTCTGAAGTCTAGCCCGAATAATGCTGTCATGTGTCCCCCACTTTCTTTTTTCATTTCTGATGTCGAGTCGGCCCTTGAAGCCAAAGAGTCTGTAATCAAGTTGTGGTTTGCAATGAAATAAAAGATAGATTTGCTACATACAAGCGGGAGGATTTATTTAAGAATAATGATCCCACTCAAACAAATAGCGGACCTTTCTATACGAAATTCAAGCTCAAAGAGTAACCGGGAACAAGAATCTTCACTCTTTCGACTCACTTATAATTATATAGATAATAATCTTTCATCGAGCACTTCTTATTTCTTTCTTTACTTTCGTCCCTCAGTTTGGTTGCCAGTTCTTAGTGACAAATAGGCTTAAATAGACTTTTTTACAAAAGTAAAAAGAAGTAAAAAACAATTCCGGTATGTTTTTAAGCTAAGGATAGCGATGGAATTCCGATCGAAGATATGAGTGCTTCTAAGGATTATCTTGAAATGATAAGGTGAATCTCCTGGGGTATGATTACTTGAAAGGTTATGAAGCAATTGTAGATCCATAACACAAGTTATGCAACAGATTCGGGACCAGATTCGCGGTCTCGAAGACCGGAAGAGGGCGTCACCCTAATATAAACAATAAATATGCAATTATATCCATAATAAATAATAAAATCAAACTTTTCAACACATAAGTCATAAGATATTAAATGATTTAAGTATAAAAACAACTACAAACATTAAAATCCACCATTTGGAGCTCGCAATTATAGTATTTGGATTTTTCGGTTGGAATTTCAGAATTTCGGTTCGGTCGAAAGAACCCTGATTTTCTAAATATCCATATTTTCCTTCCAAATTCCGAATTGGATAGCATTATTTCGGTTTTGATTCGGTTTAATTTGGTTCGATTCGGTTCGGGTTTACCGAACCGGTTGCCCACCCCTGCTCTGTCTTCTCAGTCTGTGACTCTAGCAGAACCTCCGTCCTTGGTCTGAAGTTAACCATCCACCGTCGATGATGTCGCCCTTGAGAACACACAATGTTCAGCGTCTGCGACCCAGATGCAGTCTCTTGCATGCCGAGCACCAACTAGAATCGTTGTTTCCGTCACCACGAATCCTGAAGCAGCAACAACGACGACGCGATAAAGAGGGTGTTCTCTTATGTGACAAAGAAGTGAAATGTGAAAGCTAGTGGTAGAGAATCCACCGCCGCTAGATGCAGATAAACTAAATTCGAGATTGGGGAAGGAGGGATCAATTGCGGTTTGTATTCAGTCCATGCTTTCTGGGCGTCGTGGGCAAGATGAAGAGAGATGGTTCTGATGGCGGGGGTGGAGAGTTTCCTGTTTGGCTAGCCATCGCGATGAGCAGAAGAGGAGGGGTGGAGAGAGAATAGTATATATTGCTCAAGTTCTAGCGGGGGCAAGAAGGTTTGGTTCACGGTGTGAGTATTATGTGGTGGGTCGGGGTTTTTTTTTGGTTAAATCTGGCTGATTAGCCACTTCTGTTAGTCACGTCAGCAGAAAACTGACGGTGTTAACGAAGACTAGTGAAAGTTAACGGAGAGTGACTAAATTTGGCATATTTAACTAATTTTTAGTGGAAGATGAAAGCGGAAGGTGCATTAGACCACCCATAATGTAGGTAGATAAAATGAGAAAAGAGGAAAATGTCCCCATAGTGTGGGGGAAAATGGGAAATGTGGGTGGGAATACCCACCACTAGGGGACAAATGGTGGGGGAAGGAAAGGAGAAGGTGTCCACTGTCGGACCCACACATAATTTACTTTTTAATTTTTTTGTTGTTTTTTTTGTTCTAAGTTATTTGTTTTAATGGTTTTCTTTTATTGTGATGTGTTTTGATTAGAGGTGGCAATTCTCAATCCAATCCACCAATCCATTAAAAATATCCACCTAATCCAATCCATTTAATCCAATTGGATTGGTGGATTCATGGATCAATCCATGGATTCAAATGGCAAATTACGATTTGGTACCTATACTTTTTATATTTTACATTTTGATACGAAAAATATCATTGAAAAATTACGTTTTGGTACCTTAAATTTTTCATTACTACATTTTAGTACCTAAAATTTTCACATTTTACATATTGGTCCAAGATTGAGGATGTCATTTGGATCCATGGATAATCCATCAATCCACTTGATCCAATCCATGAATCCACCAATCCATTGGATCCAATACAATTGATCCATGAATCCACCAATCCATGGATCAATCCATTTGCCACCTCTAGTTTTGATTGGTTTTATCCGCAACAGACAAAATCAATGACGTTATATTTAATTTGTGATGAAAAAATTATGTCCAAATTTAAAAAAATTATATCGAAATGTTCATATTAATTAATTATCACTAACTACGTACAAATAATGATTATTATCAAGGTTCAAAAAAGCGCTAGGCGAAAGGTGACGTTGAGACTCTGCCTAAGCGTTAGATGTAAACGTAGTATAATATCTACGTTTAATAACTCCCACGTGCTTAGAATTACAAGTTTTTAAACCAAATATCATCAGATCTACCTCTCATTTCTAAACTTTCATCAACAACACATGGTGAAACATAAAACATACTGTGTAGAAATGAGTAAGGAAGAAGAAGCTGAAAAATAGCAAAGCATATTGAGACGAAGAAGCGCAAAAAAGAAAGAAGGAGCTAATCTAATGATTATCGTCTCTAACTATATTCTTGCATAACTATAGAGTATTCAAGATAGCCCTCTCTAGTAGCATATCAAAAGGTAGAAAAAGACATCGTGACATCATTTTGAGGCACAACTCATTGCTGCCTAGGTACTACCAAGGACACCACATGGTTGTGACGCCTTCTCCACTCCTTTTTGCCAAGGCAATGCGCTTTCTTTCTTACTTGTGTCTAGGTGTGCTTTTTAGAACCCTGATTATTATATAAAAATAAAGTAACGAAATCAACTATAGATTGATTTTAACAAAAAAAGTACTAAACCGATTACCCACTTTTCTCACCCTCTACATTGTGACCAAAACCTCTTTTTCCCCTCTTTTCCCTATTTTTCCACCTTTCCCTCCCACCCCCATTGTGGATGGTCTTATGCATTGATGGCTTCATTCGCTAGAATTAATCATGACTCACGAGTGACAAAGGACTAATCACATCTTGAACCAAGCGACGGGAAATCGAATTAACAAACTGAAATTGAAGCCATGAATAAAAAAATCGGTATATAATCCAGGGCAGATTGATTGACAACCGGGAAAGTGCTTGCCGACGATGTGCAAAATGCGATCGCCGGACCGGTCGGACCCCTGTAGCCTGTAAGGAGAAGAACTGAAGGAAACCGTCCCCGACTTGAGTTCAAGTCCTTAAGCCTCATTTGTTAAGGAAAATCTTAAAGCCTTCCTATTGGCTGATAGTGGATTAGGTAGTTAATGGGGGTTAGTAGTTAATAGGTAGTTAAGAGTAAATAGGGTTATGCAAATATAATTAAAATTAATATAATTAATTAATGATTCTCTTTCTCTCTCCTCCCATGATTTTCTCCATAACCCTCTCTCTACATTATAATTAAAAAGAAATATGAAATTAATTTTATTTAATATTTAATAAAATTCGAATTTAATAATTTTCTTTTTCTAAAATGGAAATTTGAAATTTAAAATATATGCTCTCTCACATCTTGGCAACTTCCGATTAGTATTAAGTATTAACATTTTGTAATGACATTATCAATATTTATAAATTGAATCATCATTAGGGCTTTTCATTGCATGGGTTTGAGATTTTTCGTTGTTAGGTATTCGTTTGTGTTATTATTAATGTTGTGCGACATGTTTTTTAATAATTTTATATGACATTATTAACTTTTTATGTTATGTTTTGTTTGTAACATTAGTAAAAGTGAAATTGTGTTTTCAATTTGTTGGTACTTGAAGTTTATTTACTATTACATCGTATTATCAATTTGGTTCGCAATGATTTATAATCATTTGAAGTGCTATTATCAATATTTTTTTACAAGCACAATACAACCATTAGCAAAAATTTAATTCATTTGTAAGATTGCTTATGTTTAGTGATTTGAATTATTAATATTTTTTCGTTTTATGTTTGTAACTTTGTCAAATGTCATTATCAAGAAGCATACTTGTTGGATATTCGTTTGTTTATGACATTATCAAAAGTGAATTTACGTTTAATGATATAACTATGGTTATTAATCTTTCAGTCTAAGTTAGTAACGTAGTTTGGTGTCATTATTAATAGGCGTGTATAAGCATTATCAATGTTTGAAAATAAGATATTAATAATATCTAATAAGGTACTTAACAATCATTAGTTGCTATCATTATCAAAGTTTTTGGATGCATTATCATTTAAACACATGTTACTTATTAATGCGTTTTTAGTGCTATTTGACATTAAACATTGCATCTGAATATTATTAATATTTTTATATTACAAAAATCTATTTCATTATCAGTGACTTGATCATTCGATATTAATGGTTTTTAATATCTTTCTTAAAAGTTTGATGTCATTTATAATGTTGAAGTCAGACATTTTTACATTGATGTTTTGTGTTTATTTTCAACGAAATACTTTTCGTTATCAATGATTTATTGTATTGTTATTAAAAGTTTGGTGTTGAGGCGTGAATGTTGGTTTGCTTGAGCTAATATTTTTCTGGACAATGTTTGTTTGACTGAATCACAGAGGTGCACTATGTCACAAGTACCCAAGATGTTGAAAATTAGTATTGTGCTTTATGATCATTGAGAATAATAATGTAAAACAATATTAATTGATCATAAAACGTTAATAATGTCATTAGAAATCATTAGAAGAGGCCATGACTAGATAGTTATAAACATGATGTGAAAATGTGAATTATTAGTACTAAAGATGTTGTAAATCAATGATATTGTTATTCAAACTATTAATGACTATGTTACATAACTTTAATGATTCATTCATAGGCGTTGATGACGAAACTATAAAACAGTAACAATTGATCCAAAATTGTTAATAATGTAATTGTAAGAAATTGATAAGTATATTGAAGTCGTTAATAATGATGAGGTATAATAATAACGATTCATTTCATAAATGTTGATAATGTCATTGCAAAATGTTAATACAGTATTGCAAGTTGCCACGAAGTGAGAGAGAGCATATATTTTAATTTCAATTTTCATTTTAAAAAATAAAAAATATTAAGTTCAAATTTATTAAATATTAAATAATAATATTTAATTAAATTAATTTCAAATTTCCTTTTAATTTTAGTGGATAGAGAGGGTTATGGAGAAGATCAAGGGGAGAGAGAAAGAGAATCATTAATGAGTAATATTAATTATATTTTAACTACTAACCCCTCATTAACTACCTAATCTAATATCAGCCAATAAAAATGATTTAAGAACCTCCTTAAACAATAAGGCTTAAGGACCGGATCCAATCCGACCTTCCCCGAGTCACCCATCCAAATGCCAATGCAACGGAGGAATTCTGCACATAGTGTACAAAAATCCAACCGTATGGTAAGCGGAATTCTTCTCTGAATCAAGTTCGGAAACTGCCATATTCAGGCCTTAATTCGCTCCAAATCTTCTCTATAAAAACGGGACCTCCCACCTAGAGGTGGCAAATGGATTGGATTGGTGGATTGATGGATTGGATTGGTGGATCTATGGATCAAATGGATTGGATCTAATGGATTGGTGGATTCATGGATTGGATCAAGTGGATTGGTGGATTATCCATGAATCCAAATGACATCCTCAACCAAGGACCAATATGTAAAATGTAAAAAGTTTAGGTACTAAAATGTCATAATGAAAAATTTTAGGTACCAAAACGTAATTTTCCAATGATATTTTCGTATAAAAAAATAAATTTTAGGTACCAAAATGTAAAAAATAAAAATTATAGGTACTAAACCGTAATTTGCCAATGATCCATGGATCCAATCCATGAATCCACCAATCCAATTGGATTTGGATTAAATGGATTGGATTTAAATGGATTGGATTAGGTGAATATTTTTAATGGATTGATGGATTGGATTGGTGGATTGGATTGAAATTGCCACCTGTCCCACCTCCGATCGCTCACCAACAGAACCCACACCGAAAAACCTGAACAAAACAATTCTAGCTCCAGCAGCCATGGCGATCCTCGAAGAAACGCAGCCTGAGCAAACCCAGAATTCTCCTCCTCCTCCAAGCAATCTCCCGCAAGAGAAGAAGAATCAGGCGGCGGAGGAGAAACCCACTGCCCTGCTTCCAAATTCTGGCAATGGGCTCGATTTGGACAAGTATTCGTGGGGGCAGAGCCTCCAAGAGGTAGCGATCACCGTTCCAGTCCCTCCCGGGACGAAATCGAGGCAGATATCGTGCTAGATCAAGAAGACGTCTCTGAAGCTAGGGCTCAAGGGCGCAGGTCATCAGCAGCCGATGATTATCGATGGCGAACTCTTCGGCCCGGTGAAAGTGGGCGAATCTTTCTGGCAATTGGAGGACCAGAAGACCATCTCCGTCCTGCTGACGAAATCGGACGAGATGAATTGGTGGAGGTCGCTGGTGAAGGGAGGGCCGGAGATTGACACGCAGAAGGTGGAGCCGGAGCCCAGCAAGCTGAGCGATCTGGATCCGGAGATGAGATCGACGGTGGAGAAGATGATGTTCGACCAGCGCCAGAAGCAGATGGGTCTCCCCACCAGCGACCAGATTCAGCAGCAGGACTTGCTCAAGAAATTCGATTTCTCCAAGATGAAGATGGTCGACAAATTCAGCAACCTACCCTAAGATTTGCTCACTCGCTTTTTGTAATCTCCTTTCACTTCTCTGCTTATATGTAATAATGGTTTTCTGACAGTTCAGTTTATGAGTCAATAAACCTGTGCTTATTATAACTCTCCATGTTTGTCCTGTGTATATCCAACAATCGCAGATCCTGCTATGGTATTAAAGGGACTTGCTTTACATCATACATGATGCTCCAAAATTGCCATTCACTCTCCAACTGAAAAATAACAAAATCTATTGTCTATCTAGCTATGTCGCAAATCTATTTCTTTATCCCATCACTAGGTGAAAGCTGAATCTCTTCAAAAGCAGCAGCAGCAGCAGCAGCAGCAGCAGATGTCTCACCTGCAGCTGCACTATTCTCAGGTCTATCATGGCCAGGTGGAGTTGCTGCTCCTTTGGAGCACACTTCATGGGGCGACAGCAGCCCTTTCAGCTTGCTTAGCTTGGAATTAGGAGGAGTACTTCCTCCTTCGTCGGCAGGTGCTTGATCTTCCATTGCCTGCTTCTCTTTCTTTCTCTTCACCCTGGCAGCCCAATCGACGAGGCTAGCCTGTATATGCTCGTCGAATATCGCCTTCTTGAACGTCGTCCCCATCTTCATTTTGTCGCAACAACAAAGAAAAGAAGAGTCAGATTATGATTCGGCATTGGCATTCGATTAAACTAAATAAGAGTCGCTTCTTTTTGTAGAGTAGTACCTGCGTGACAATGGCATATAGTGGCAGGGTGCTGTAACTGCAGAGAACTTGGATGAATATCCTAAATGGGGTAGAAAAGGTGAATGAAATTTGTCAATGTTGTCATATGTAATTGGAATTTGGAAGTTGGTTTTAAGGAGAAAAGAGGGTTCATAGAAATGTACCCTATTAGTACCCTTGGGACAATGTATCTAACTTGCCCCATGATGCAGGAGTTGAAGCCATATTGAATCTGTCCACAAATGTACAGATGTTAAATGTGACTAAAAATGGTTAATATAGAGGAAACTTAGAATCCAGGAGAAAAGAGGCATTACCCATATCCAGAAGAAGAAGGCGATCTCGAAAGAGTTCTGAAACAAGATGAAGTGAATCAAGTAGAGGACTATATCCGGCTTGTTGAACCAGAAGTGGTGGTCTGATGGTTGAACGACCAAGGCGCCTTCAATGGCTATGTGCTTCTCGGCAACCTCATGAGCCAACTGGGAGATGACATGCTCCAATTTGGTCCCCAAGGCGAGTAAAAGCTGCAAACTGGTTGTCAAGTATCACTTGAAACAGGGAAAGAATTTTTTTGCAGTTTGAAGATGGTAAGTGATTTGTTAACCACTCTACAATTGGGTTTCAGATTCAACCGACAGAAGGCCAGTTTGAGAAATTACCAACTGAAGCAAATAATACTTAGTTCAGACATGGCATTAGATGTTGAGTATACTCACAATGAAAGGAATGAATGCTATCCAGAAGTATGCATGCCACCCTGGAATGAAGTCAAATGACAAACATAGAACACTTACAGAGTTATGTTCCACTAGAGTACCAGCAAGCAAACATAAACAATATCATAAAAACATTCAAGCAAGAAATGTTCACTAGCCTATGAGCTGGTGTGAATCGTACCATTGACATTAAGCAACAAGAAGAACACCACAAAGATCCAGAGATACCAGCTGCAAACAAAAGAAGTTTGGTACACCAAAGAACAAAAAATATGTTAATTAAGAACAATATAAGTTCAGGTAGCGTACAAAGCAAGGCAATAAGAATGCTCAAATCTAGATCATATATGGGTACCCTTAGATCACCTGCCTTATTCCAACAACTCTCTTGAAGTCATCTTCAAGTGCACGCATCATATACCGGTGAAAATTAAACTTAGGGTTCCCTCTGCAGTGTGTCTGAATTCATCCACAGACAACAAGAAATCAGAGAAATGGAGGGAAAGCAAGAAGTCCGTTTCGCAGTTATGGAAACCGAAAGAAGTATGTAATGCTCAGTGCATTAGATGGATGTTATACCATGATGAAACCCAGCCGTAAAGTTAGGTAGTCGGTCCTGGTAACAGATGCATAGAATTGTTTCAGAAAGGCATGCTGCATCACGGAAAGACACAAAATGTATTCAATAACTAGTTTCTCCAAATAACTTGAGTTGTTTGTTTATAGAGCTCCAAATAGCAACATCAACTTACCACCCAGGTCAATGCCTCAGAATCTTTACCGATGCCCAAGAAGTAGTCCCTGATAAATGAATGTTCTCTTACATGGGTGAACTTCTTTTGCAGTGCTGCACTAGCACATTTCACCCAGTGAGAGATTATTTCCATTAACACAATTTCATGGATCAATAACATTTTTGTAAAATATGCCTTACCTTGTTCTGCGTCGTAATGGTCTTTCTCGATCTTGATTTCCCATTGATGCCACTGACGAATCTAGCTCATGATAGAGGTAAAAATGAAAAACCCATGATTTCCCTCCGAAAAAGTGGTGGTAAATTAATTTTTCTGAGAAAAAAGAAATGGTTTAATTAAATTAGGTGCTTACCCTTGCCCCTCCAAACATGACAGTGAGAGCGCAGAAAGTGACATGAACAATTGCTAGCACGAAGATGAAGATATGCAGATGATGTATGGCCTCTAGTGATAACATTGGCACCTTCCCCTGGAAACGAAATTATTGGTCAGGAATCAGATGTTCCTTTTCTAATTGCAATGTCACTTCCTCTCAACAAATTACCTTTCTAGCACAGTATCCAGTTTTGGAGACAGACTCGGATTCTGCTGCTTCAGCTAGAAGTCGTCGGGCGAGTCCCCTGACCATAGCCTTTGAGTGCTCTGCTGTTTCACCATGATGTGGAGGTAATCTTCCACCTTGTTGCTCGAGATCGAGGGGGCAAGGAAGCATTGTGGTTAACAAATCCTCCTTAACGCAGAACCGAACCACCAAGTTCTGAGACACCGTCAGCAGCAGCGATATGAAACCCATCAGCATCAGCTCTGCCCCGGCCCCGGCCCAGCAACCAAACCAGAAAAAAGGGAACGTATAAGTTACTGCATGAACAAAGATAAATTGACTTGACAGAGAAGATACATTTTAACTTGCTAGTTGAATGTTGGTTCAAAAATTCCATTGTTGTTATTGCCTACATTTACCTTCTTTCACTTTTTGAAGGGCTTCGTGGAGAGGCTTCTGTTTCTTGCGCTTGAAGTATGTGCCGGTGAAATGGAGAAGCCGTTCCACTCCGAGAGATATCGCGACGATGACGCTGCAGATTCCGGCCACGATCCATGTCGGAGTGAACTCCAAATTCACTCCTTCTTCATACCCCTCTTCCCCCATATGTTCTTGATTTTTTTTTTATTTTTTCTTGTGGTGTTTTTTTTGTTTTTTTTTTTTTTTTGTTTAAGAAACTGAAAGGCGGTATGTTTACTTATTCTTCTTTATGGAAATAAACGATTTTTTAACAACAGAACTTGGTTGGATGATTGAGTCGACGATCATGATGATTCTAATGGCGGAAGTTGGTCGCTGAAACATACTTCTTCATTGAGTTGTGTGTGTGGTTTGTGTTGCTTGGGTATGTGTCTTCTTTGTTTTGTTGTTTGAGCTTAAGTACCTCGGGAGCGTTGGTTAACGATGGAGATAGAAGTGGAAATGTAGTTAACTAATGGTAATTAGGGATTCTTTCCCTATATGGTATTTACTTAATTGGAACGAGTTCAACGTTATTTGTCTGCTCTTCTAATCTAAAACTTTTGAAGCTAAATTTTCTCTCTTTCTCTCCTTTTCCAGTTTTAAATTTAGTCGCTAATATTTCTTCTGCACCCCATCGTTTCACGCCTTTTCGATCTCCTTCTCTCTTCCGAAACCAATTGTATAGGTAGAAAGCCTTTAGCCTTTTGGTACCCAAGCCCTATTGCAACCGTCAGGGATAGAGAAGTCCAAAGGATGAAAAGGAAAACAATTCCCGATTGGGCCCCAAATGTTATGAGTCTTGCTCTCATAACTATTTTAATCGGTAGTATTTAGATAATTTGGTTTGGTTAATTTAAATAATTAGTTTTGTTTGGTTTGGTTAAATTTTTGGGTGTGCCTACGGTGACATGCATGTCACGGTGACTTGCACTTTCCGGTCGACCTCAGTTAGGATTAGGTCGACCTCATTTAGAATTCAGTCGACCTCATATAGGATCTGGTCGACCTCATTTAGGATTCGGTCGACCTCATATAGGATCAGGTCGACCTAATCGATTGTTTCAGTGTAAAAACAGTTCATGGTGCCTACTTTGGATATTCATATCATACAATAGCTAGATGGAAATTGAAGACTAATGACTTGTTTTGAAGCTGGAGTGTCCCTCTACATATTGAAGTGATTGAGAGCTCGATAGGAAGTCCAGAAGACCATTTTTGAACCTCATCAAAAGGCTATGCCAAAACTGGGAAACTGCTTAGAAATGGTTAAGTCTGGAAACATCTTTGTGAAGCCTATTTTGGAGCTCAATTCGAGAAGTATGAATGCGAGTCGAGTCCAGGAGCCTCTACCACGTTAAATTAGGTATGTTTTTATACAAATTCAAGGCATTGGATGAAAGATTGGATATTTGTAAGGCTTCAAACAAAAGGGTCGAAGTTGCTACGAAGGCTGTTTTTCTGGCAGACTTCGAGCACAAGCAAGCTGCCAGAAAAACACCCTTCGTAGCAACTTCGAGCCTTTTGTTTGAAGCCTTAAAGATATTCAATCTTTCATCCAATGTCTTGCCTTTGTATAAAAAAAATACGTAAATACGTAATTTAATGTGGTAGAGGCCCCTGGACTTTACTCGCATCCATGCTTCTCAAATTGAGCTCCAAAGTAGGCTTGACAAACATGTTGCCAGACTTAGCCATTTTCAGGTAGTTTCCGAGTTTTGGCATAGCCTTTTGGTCAGGTTGAAAAATGTTCTTCTAGACTTTCTATTGAGCTCCCAAGTACTATAATGTGTAGAGGGACACTTCAGCTTCAAAACAAGCCTTAAATCTTCAATTTCCATCTAGCCAATTGTAAGATATGAATCTCCAAAGTAGGCACCATGAAACTGTTTTTACACTAAAACAACAGATTAGGTCGACCTTATCCTATATGAGGTCGACCGAAAAGTACATGTCACCGTGACATGCATGTCATCGTAGCAAAGTCCTAAATTTTTTAGCTT